AGATCCTTAGGAAGGGTGGGGCTATCACTTTCGCTGTCTCCCTTTGCTCACCCCCTCACCCAACATCTTAACATACCTGAAATTATATGATGATGATTACCCAGGGTAGCCTTTAAGTGAGGGGGAAAATGGCACAGTACACATATATGCAGACAATTTGTTCACTTTAATGAGGGAGGATTGGGAGTTGGGGAGGGCTGAGCCTCGAGCCTTCTGTTGTTTGGACATGGTGGTGGATGGTAAATCATCCCCCAGCAGAGCCACTTCCTGTTCTCCCTTCCCCTTATCTGAGCCTCTGCTTAGCAGCTTTTAGGCTCACTGACCTCCAAGTGTAGAAGGAGCAGATATTTCTACACTTTGAGGTCAACGGTCCTAAAATTCCTAAATCCGAAGGAGATCCTTGCTCATTCCTTCCATGTCGTATCTAGTTATGACTTGTAAACTTAGAATGACCAGGGCTCACCCGATGAAAGCAAAATAATACTAAGTCGAAGAAGCGTCTATGTGAACTTGTGGAAAGGGGCCATGTGTAATCATTTTTCTGCATCCAAAATCATATCGCAGAGCCTGGCACATAGTAGGTGCTCAAGAATTTTATGAATGAATGAATGTTCACTTAACAGGTTGGTTAAACAAGTTGGTCAGGAAAGAATTACACAGCAGACACATGGAGAGCAGCCTCAACATGAATAAGGACCCATTAGTTAAGACAAATACTGGTAAGAAATGAACATTCCTTCAAGCACTCATCTACAGGATGTTTCTTGGGTTTATTTTAATTATTTTATTTATTATTTTAATTATTCTTGGGTTTATTTTTCATTATTTAATTCTAGTACAGTATATAACAGTTGCATAGTGATTGTCAATACATGACAAATTATGGACATAATTTCACTTACTCCCTCAACATTTTTAAGGTATGTACAATCAGTCTTTAATTTACAGATAATGACACTAAGGCTCAACACAGTTAAGGCCAAATCTCTGGTTATTTGAATCCAAAATTTGCACTCTTTCTACCAAATTGCATAAGCTGCTTCTAAAGTCTCTTTTTTTCAAGGGCAATTTTCCATATGCTTTTTCACACCCTCTAAATTAAATCGCATAGCTTGCTACTTTTCTTATAGTGGACTTTCAAATATTTGTTGATTTTGATTCATTGAAGCCTGAAAAAAGTAGAAGGGTTGAGGGAAACAGGGTGGAGACATGGGGTAGTTTTCCTAGAAACAAAATGGACTCCTAAAATCTCTAGATAGCCTGTCATAATATACCAAAAAAACAAGCCCCTACCATTTATTGATACTAGAGATACAGACAGTGTTGTCAACTTTCACAAAAGGTTCTCACTGGATTTAACTCACGATGCCATTGGGAAGACCCGAGATAATTAAAGAAATGAAATAAACACTTACCTGCTTGTTTCATTTATGTCATAATTTCCCCTGGGTTGTGTCTGTTTTCTTTTAATGCCATGGCTCTTGAATTAAAACCTTTGTATTTCAATAGCCAATCAGAAGTGCTGTGAAAAGGCTGTGACCTCATCCAAGGAAGTAAATATTTGCTTTGTAACCACATTCATTGTTTATAATAAAGTTATATTTACTGACACAGAGATTTTTTTTGAAAAATATCAAATACAAAGTTTAAGGAATTCAGAGAGATTTTAGATGTTTATTACTCATTCTAGAATTTCAAGTATAAAGCATTTATATAATTCAATGAAAAAGCCTGCACATCTAGAAAACAGTAGGGCAAGAACTCAAATCCAGTTCTATTTGAAACGAGCTTTTCTCTTCCACCAAAGCTCACTGCTCCTCCTACAGGGGCCTCCTGTTCATTATAGATTCCAGGTTCGCTGATTCTGAATTACTGAGGCTTTACTATATTTGATAAACTGGAACCAGCAAAAATTATAAAATTTTATCCTTTCTAGGTAGTTTAATATCTAAGGGACTTTATAGATTTTCCAAGCTAAATATTTAAGCTTCTGAAACCAAATTTGTCAATAGTCACAGAATTTAAAAATTCAAAACCGGGAACTTATCAGAGCACTGAATCGTGTGAAACACTACAGATAGAGAGCTCATTAAGGTACTAGATTAGTCTCAACTTTTAAATATTTAAATTTCACCTCCAGTTTAAAAACGAGATGACAGGATTCTAATATGACATGGCCTTATGATGAAGCTTAATTGATTTCATTCTGAGGAGAAACTTCAATGAATGCTCTAGAGGACCTCCATCTACTCCCATATTTCCTTTCAATCTCATTTATCTCAGGAAAACTCAAAACTGGCAGAAACAATCAATGAAAATCTGAGAGCTTGTCATGTGATGTACCTGCTTCTTGTTAATAAGGTGTGAGTGTGTGTGCATAGTACCCAAACAGAAAAATGACAGACCTCAACTAGTAAAAGGAACTGTGCACTTTGGAAGGCCCCAGCATGGTGGCAGGTGGCAGTATGTTATGGACAACATAGCAGCCCTAATGCTGTGGCTGGTCCGTCTCCAGCCTTTGGTAATGTTTGTGCCACTCCATTTGAGCTAGAGCCATTCAACCACAAAGATCTCTGTAGTCTTTGCCACGTGTCTTCTTTGTCACTAAGCATTTCCTTTCTTTGCTTTTCCCTTGTCTTTTAAAATTAACATTCGCACTCAAATAATAAAATCATTCAGAATACAATGGAAAAATGGGCAGAAGACTTGAACAAGCGATCTTCGAGACAAAAAAAAAATGGCTATAAGCATGTCAAAAAAGTTATCAGCATTCTTAGTAACCAAGGAATTAAAAGTTTGAAAAATATCATTTTCATCTATCAAGTTAGCACAATTTTTAAATTTTTATTTGTTTTTTATTGGCATATAATTGCTTTACAATGTTGTGTTAGTTTCTGCTGTACAATGAAGTGAATCAGCTATATGTATACCTATATCCCCTCCCTCTTGGACCTCCCTCCCTTCCCCCCCATCCCACCCATCTAGGTCATCACAGAGCACGGAGCTGAGCTCCCTGTGTTATACTGCAGGTTCCCACTAGCTATCTATTTTACACATGGTAGTGTATTTATGTCAAACCTATTCTCCCAATTCATCCCACACTCCCCTTCCCCCACACCCATGTCCACATGTCTGTTCTCTATGTCTGCGTATCTATTCCTTCCCTGCAAATAGGTTCATCTTTCTACATTCCAATATATGTGTTAATATACAATATTTGTTTTTCTCTTTCTGACTTACTTCACGCTGCATGACAGACTCTAGGTCCATCCACATCTCTACCAATGACCCAATTTCATTTCTTTTTATGGCTGAGTAATATTCCATTATATATATGTACCATATCTTCTTTGTCCATTCATCTGTCCATGGGCATTTAGATTTAGCAAAGAGGTTTTTTGTGTGTTTTTTGTTCTTTTTTTTTGCGGTATGTGGGCCTCTCACTGTTGTGGCCTCTCCCATTGCGGAGCACAGGCTCCGGACGCGCAGGCTCAGCGGCCATGGCTCACGGGCCCAGCCACTCCACGACATGTGGGATCTTCTCGGACCGGGGCACGAACCCGTGTGCCCTGCATCAGCAGGCGGACTCTCAACCACTGCGCCACCAGGGAAGCCCAGCAAAGAGTTTTTAAAAGATGATATTTTGTTGGTGAGAACTAGATGTTCTAAGTAGCAAGCCTAAAGGAAAAAATGCCATAGGTATGCAGACAAAGCCTACACCTTAGGATGCACATCAGTTAAAACAGTGAAATATTGTAAATAATGTCAACATTCAAAAAAGAAAGAATAGCCAAATAAATTGACAGCTATAAGGTGAATTATTTTGCAGTCACTAAATTATATTAAAAATTCCAATTTCTTGGGAAACGTCAACAAAGTAATGTCAATTGTTTAAAAAAGTAAGTATGAAGCTCTACAATATGATTCTAATTCTTTAAAAAATGTCCCACTTATTCATAGGAAACGAACCTGTGGTAAATTTCCCCATATGTTCAATAGCGGTTCTTTAGATATTGGGAAACATGCGAGGCACATGTTCAGCACTTTATACACATTGCATCACATTTATGCTTGCAAACATCTTAGGAAGTGGGTCTCTATCCCTGCTGTTATATCTGAAGAAACTGAGGCTCAGAGCTGGTAAGTAACTTGACCATGGCGACAGAGCCATTCAATGGAGGAGCCAGGACAAAAGCTAAGGTCAACTTGACCCAAAGCTCATGTTCATCATGTCCATGCCTGCCCACAGGTAATTTAAACTTTGTTTGGAAACAGATCAACAATAGAAATATTATAGGAAAAACATGCATATTCACAAAGTGACAATTCTCAAAATGGTTTCCTCCAAAGATGTAGTACATTTGGTAATGAATATGATCACGCTTCTAAAAAAAAACAGTAAAAATCTTGGAAGTCTTCTGTGAACCATGCCAGTTCTGCAAAATTTATTAATTGAATAAGTTCTTATTTAACACTTGCCTTTTGCCGGATATTGTGCTAGGTATCGGCACCACAGCAGGAATAACAGTATAAAGGAATTTCTTTGGATATTAGGGAAGTCTCTGGGGGGTAAGTGGAGATGGGAAGAGATAGTGAGGGTGAGAGTATCTATCAATCTAATATCAAACGTCCTGGCAGGGCTTCCCTGGTGGCGCAGTGGTTGAGAGTCCGCCTGCCGAGGCAGGGGACACGGGTTCATGCCCCGGCCCGGGAAGATCCCACATGCCTGTGGAGCAGCTGGGCCCGTGAACAATGGCCGCTGAGCCTGCGCGTCCGGAGCCTGTGCTCCGCAACGGGAGAGGCCACAACAGTGAGAGGTCCGCGTACCGCAAAACAAAACAAAACAAAAACAAACAAACAAAAAGCAACGACCTAGTTACTTACATCTAAGGACACTTTTATTTCTTTAAGCCTTCCATGAAAACGTATAATATTTCCGAGGATCCAGGACACCCCCTGGAAATGTCATACAGTTTTAAGCCTCTACAATGAATTCATGCTTATACTCTACCTGTAGTAATCAGATGAAATAAAATGCTTTTTAACATCACATAGAATTATTCTCATCCACTGGGTATACAGTGGTCCTTGCATTTGCCCTTCTGGGTGGTGCAATATTTTCCTTGTTAAGTAAGCAGAGATGCACTATCAGGAAAAGGCTTCTCAGCAGAAATGCCGTTGGATGTGTTCCCGTCCATCTTCGCTCCACATTTCCTTATCCATGTCCACCTTTCACTTTTCCAGAAAAGCCCATGCCTTGCAGCAAATGGGCTTCTACTATGAAGGCCACTATCTCTACAACTGTAAGTTAACAGGTAAATGCTTTCTTGCTTTTTAGTCTGTGAGTCAACCAGAATTTTTATCAATTTAGTTTTAGATTTGGCTGTTATAATAATGTCATGTGGGTGAGGATATGTACATGTCTCCTTTTCTTCAAAGCTCCTAGCCCTAGTGGTAAGAAACGTTAAGAAATGTTTTGTTTTGTTTTTTTTTAATTATTATTATTAAAAATTATACAAAGTTCATAGAAATGATAATGACTTAGACTTTCAACATTATGAGTTCAAATAAATTAGGACCCTGTAGGAAGATCCCTAAAAGCAGAGAGATATCTATGTGAGCAGGAAAATGGACGCCTTATTAACCTGACAGGAAGAGCAAATTAACCTCCTTGTTAATTCCCTCCTGTGGCCACTGAACACCAAGGAGTAGTTGAGGAACCAGAGCAAAAAGGGTAGAATCTGCCACAACAGACACCTTATGTTGTTTGTTCTGTAAATTAGGTGGTTCTCTTAATCTTTCAGACTACAAATTCAGGAGGAAGGATGAGTGCCCACGGCTCTTGAGATCAGGTGCCATTGCCATGGTGATTCATCTTATTTAATAAATGATACCATCTAATCCTTTGTAGTGATAAACACTTGTTTTCTCATTTCTAAAAATTGTAAATAAACTACCCTACCATGAGGTCTTTAAATATAGTTTTTAAGATTATTAAAACAGTGAATAAGTCTCCTCTCCCATGAGTGTGCTAATTACTGTTTTAGCTCTTGTTAACAGAAGAAACAGCTTAATAATAGTAACTTAACTGGAGGAGGTCAAACTGCTCATTCATTTGAATTTATGAGTACAAACCACCTTTTCATTAGATATCAGTGCAAAGTGTATATTTCATAGATACCTGCTATTGTTGCCACAAAGGATTTTAGAAACAAATACAATTTACCCAAAGTGTTCCACAGCTTTCAAAAGTATTAAACACACATAATGTCTAGCAGCTATGAAACCGAGAGAAAAACATTATTTTTCATTACAGGGGTGAAAATTGTTTCTCATTTCTCCAATTAAATGATTTTCAGAGGGTTCATCACCAGGAAAACCAGTATGTATGAACGCCGGAAATGCAGATGGCAGTCTCAGAAACGCTTATGCTAAATGGGAATCCAACTACAAGATTTCTCTCTATTGTCTGTGATAGCCACCCCATGATGGAAATAGTCTGGCTGTAAAACGATTTTTCAAAAGAAAAAGAAACAACTGTGGGAAGATTGCAAAGTTCTCTAGACAAACCTTCAAGTGACTCTTTTAAGTAAGGAAACGTTTATCGAAGGGTCAGAGTGGTTAGGAAAACTACTATGCCAGGAGCCAGGATCAGTCTTGCCGGAGCGACCGAGATTGTCCCAGGTGAGTGGGTGCCCCGGGGCGCAGGGCGGGTCCCCGCACGGCTGGCATCTGTTTGGCCGGGCGACCCTTGCTCTGTCTCCAGGAGCCCAGCGACTCCTGAGGCTGCGCGGGCTGCCCGGGACGCCCTGCCAGCAGCCTCCCGCTCGCGAGGAGCATCTCCCCTCCGCGGCTGCCGAGGCCAGCTCTGTCTCTCCGCCATCCTCAAGTCCTCCGACATTTTTCACAGAGAAAGGGAGGTAGGGAGTAGAGGAAACGGCCGAGTGTCTGCACCCAGCCTCTGCCGCAGCACGAGAAGAGGGAGAGGAGGAAGGCTGGCGGGTAAGCCGCTGTTAAACTGTAATTCTATCGATAATGAAAAGAATCATCATCACCTCTAGCAAGAGAGCCTCGGATACACCCACCCGGGCAGCGGCTAGGGGGTTGGCAGGCGTTCCACCTCCTCGCCCCCTCGAAGGCTGTGAAACCCACCTCAAGCCGTGCACACTAGAACTCCCTTCCCTCCGACCAGAGGGAGGGGAAAGAACAAAAGAGGCCCCCGCCCCCTACCCACACACCTCCGATATTTTATCGATGCTCAAGGTATGCATTTTTGCACCCCCTTTGGCTCACACCTTCACCACTTGCATTTTCCCAAAGGTGAAGCAAGAGAAAATACCACCCCGAGGTGATCGGTCGATTGGACACTGTTAATTTCACATTCGGTTTTCTAACAAACAGCCACCCCAATCGGCAGGTCCTCGCGCCCCGCGGGGTCTCCCGCCGCTCCCGGCCCTCGTTGCTGGATCCCCAAGGCGCCCAGCTCTCCGCCGGGGACCCGACTGAAGGTTCCCTGGGCCGGCAGGACACTCGCCCAGCCGGTCCGCAGCAGCCGGAGGGCGACGAGCGGACCGCGCAGAGGCTGCAACGCGGGATCCAACTTCCCAAAGCAGCGGCGCGGCCCGGGCTTCCTCCCGCGGCGCCGCGGGCAGCGCCGAGACCCCCGCGCCGGCTGACTGCCCCGCCCGGGCACAGGCAGTTGCACTCTCCACCCCCTCTTTCCTTCACCTCCGCACCCCCCCACACACCTTTAAAAGATTCATCCATCGGTGCAGAGCAGACATTTTGATGTCATTTACTTAGCACCGCTCGGTATCAGAGGCAACATCTTACCCAGTCGCCTGGAGGTGTGGGCAGCGCACCGATGGGTCCGGGGGCGCGAGGCTGAGCTGCTCGGTCCTCTAGCGGAGCCGGTTTGCTGCCATCCGCCCAACTTCAGCTCCCCGCTGGCGAGGAGAAGGGAAGAGAGGCGAGGAGGGAGTGGTGGGGGAGGGGGAGGAGGGAGAGGTGGGCGGGGAGGGAGCGGGAGCCTCTCGGCAGCGCGCATGCGCCCCGCGGGCGGGCGCAGCCCCTCGCCCGGCTCGGCCAGAGGTGCCGCTTCTTCCCTGGGGGTGCGACCGCTTGAGTCACGGCGCGCCTCCGCCCCTCCCTGGCCGCCAGGCCCAAGCGCGCTCGCCTCGGCTCGGCGCCCACGGCGCGGAGGGGCTTGGTTGCAGCTCCGGGCTCCGGCGCCGGGGGTCCGCGGCTTCGCGGGCACCTTGGAGACCTGGGAACCTCCCTTGATGAGAGAGTCTCTCGCGCCCAGGCTCATTCAACTTCACGTTCACCCGCAGCCCGCGTTATTTTTCCCTGCGCTTCAGGCGAATGTTTGAAACCAGAATCCTGTCTTTAAGGAACAAAACAGGTGCAGCGGCGGGGTCCCAGTGGAGGCAGTCCCTGCGTGAGGGTTCAAAGAAGTAGGAAGTTAAGCAAAAGTTGCTTACCAGAAGACTCGACTTTATCAAGGGTTCTTTACTTTATTGAAGTCCTCAGCCAGAATCTGACCCTTTTCCCTAAGAATGATCACAGATGCTCTCGGATCTGGGGCATATGTTCTGTCTCAGACGTCAGGACCCCTGGAGCCAGAGTTTTGAGTGAGAGATGCTGATGACAGGGCAAGAGTAGTGACTTACTAACAGAGATGTTGATGCTTGGGGCCTGAAGCATCCTTCGCGGACAGCTCCATAGCGATCAGGTCTGATAATTGTGCTGCTCCCAAGCGGAGCCCAGCTTGGTAGTGAAGGAGCTTTGGATACTTAATGCATCCTCAGCGCTAGATTGCACCTCCGATGATTAGATTGAAGTGTGTGTGAGGATGAATTAGGGAACCGGGTGTCTTTCTCTTCAGATGTGGCATCTGTGGGAAGAGGAGAGAGTTCCTGGCAGGAATGATTAGGCTTTTTTTCTTATACCTATTTAAAACTGATTACTTGTAAGTGTATATGGTTTCCCAATGCTTGTGTGCTTATGCATTCAAACAGCGTTATTATTTCACGCTCCTTTACTGAACACCCTCCTAGACTTCCCCCACCTCCACCCCTACTTGACTGCACTGTGTCTCGGCTTGCTCTAGGACCTTCCTCTCTAGCTACACCCTGCTTCTGAGTACTAGTGATCTTCAAAGTGCTTGTGCTGGGCTTGTGCTGGTCTGCAAATTGTTCTTTATTGCTCTCTAATGAGCGATATGTTTAGAAATTGAGAAGAAGACTTAGAAACTTTTATAGCAGTTTGGCGTTGCCTTGGCATCCAAGCACATTAGCTAGTTGGACTTTGTATGTTTTATTTTATTTGTAAAGTAACTCATTTTTGTTGGATTTTACAAAAGTATTGGTCCACGCACGGTGCATTGAAAATAAAAAAGTCCTTCATCAAAAATGGTTTGAGGGGCTTCGCTGGTGGCGCAGTGCTTGAGAGTCCGCCTGCCGATGCAGGGGACACGAGTTCGTGCCCCGGTCAGGGAAGATCCCACATGCCGCGGAGCGGCTGGGCCCGTGAGCCATGGCCGCTGAGCCTGCGCGTTCGGAGCCTGTGCTCCGCAACGCGAGAGGCCACAACGGTGAGAGGCCCGCGTACAGCAAAAAAAAAAAAAAAAAAAAAAAAGTGGTGTGAGCATCACTGAATTCTGTATAACTCCCAGATTTATATCTCCATCTGACCTCTTCCAGAGCTCTTTTATGTCAACTACTTTTACATCTTCACTTGAAGATAATTATAATAGCTTTTACTGAACAATTACTGTGTGCCAAGTTCTGATGTAAATGTTTCACATAGATTTCTTGTTTTCTCTACAAGATAGATAGTATTATTATGTTTAACAGGCACCTCAAAGGCAGAACTCCAAATATCTAACCCCTCCAAACCCATTTCTCTTCTGTTTCCACACAGTCACTCCAGACAAAAATTTAGAAGTTATCCTTGCTTTGTCTCTTTCACCCATACATCCAATTAATTAGCATGTCATGTTGTCTCCAAAATGTAGCCCCAATTCACCTACTTTTCTCCCTTCCCATTGGTATAACCTTAGTCTAAGCCTCTGTCAACACGTTCTCCAAACAATAGCTGCGTGATCTTTTGCAAACATAACCAGATCACGTCATGCTTCAGCTTTCAACTCCCCAATGAGATTTCATGGCACTTTAAGTACAAACCCTAATCCTTAGCACAGCATAGAAGTATCTATTTAATATTGTCCCAGTCTACGTGTTCTATAGCCACATCGGCCTGTTTCTTGAATAAGTCTAACTTACAGTACTTGCTGTTCTTTTTGTCTGGAATCCTCTACTCGCCCCCCCTCCCCCATAGTAGGTTCCTAAATATCCCACAGGTCTCCGCTCAGATATCACCTACTCAGATAGGCCTTATCTAACCAACCACCCAATGTAATCTGCTCCAGTGTTCTTCTCTGTCGGATCGCCTTGCTTTATTTTCTTCCAGACATTTTTCACTATCTGAATCAGCTTGCATTTGTTTACTTGTTTATTATCTCCTCATCCCCCTCTACGATAGAGTCTCTCAAGAGGGTTCCCTACATTTTTCATTGTTTTATCTCTAATGCCCAGAATGGGATTTGACACATCGTGCATACTCAGTAAGTATTTAGTGAATGAATGCATGACTGAATGAATAAATAACACACTTAAAAAGTTTTCTTTATTTTTCCTGACACTTCTTCTTGGACCTCACTACTGCCTGTCAGAATCTGTTGGTTCCCAGAAGTGCGCAGGTAGACCATATTGTTTCCCCTGTCCATCCTGTCAAAAACGGCTCCATGGAATGATACACATCTCAACTAGATGCCAAAGTAGTGTTCCTAGAACCAACTTTAAAACAAACATACCTGATAAGAAAGACATCTTGCTTCTGTGAACTTCCCTAAGTTGTAATAATGGCTGTTGGGGCAATTGTTTGCACCTATGACAACTTGGCTGTTCTGCTACTCATTTACTTGCTGAATTCAAATGCAACCTCTTGGTGACTTTCTTTCCTGATTGTAGCTTGTTGTGTAATCCTTTGTGTATTAGCCAGAATCTTCAGTGATAGCACTCTAGGAACTGGACACGTCGCCATGTTCTGAGTGTTAGAGAGATGGGTGGAACCAGCCACTGCTTTAATGACCTTCATCACTTGCAGCCTCCGTGTGTATATCTGGGTCTTAGGAAATATCTGGAGTTCCAATGATATCAAATGATGGATAGGTCAATAATTCAACTAAATAAACTTTATTAATGTCTACTACAGCCTGGCATTATGTCTTCAAGTTTTTTGCAAAAAATGTAAATGTTATATAAAATGATTATAAGTGACTCAGAAACGGATTTCAGTTTATTTTGGCCATGGGGATGCCTTCTCTTCTCTTTATACAGAATTTCAGAGCTCATCACTAAACAGCTGTGTGGTAGATATGAAAAGCAGCATTTGATCATGAATATTTCCATGATATTACGAGTGTGTTTTTCAAGTAGAGAGAATCTGGATGCAGCAGCAGATTTTGCTATAGGAGGCAGACAGAAGGTTTGAAGACAAAGTATGTGCAGACGAGATACTGGAAAAACACAGAGCATCATAATATTTATAGCACATTTACTCATAATTAAGGGTATTTGTCATCATTAGGAGACATGGAATCTACCTCAGTTAGTTTGGTATCCTCCAAAGGTTATTTCAGAAGGAAATTATGTAACATCTTTACATTTTATTCTCTCTTTTCCCACATGCTCATTTATTTAAAAACATCTGCTTTACCTTTGAAAAGTGGAGGGAAAAGGAAGAAGTTCGTTTGAATCTAGGAAACCCTGACTGCACCATCTGGGCAGACTTCTCCAGAGTGACGTGTGGAAGGATAGCTAAAATATGACCGCTTACACATGCTTTTTCTTTATTTTTAGTAAGTGGGGCTCCTCATGTTTCTTCGGCTAGTTTCATTCAAACTTTGAAAACAGGCTCTTCTCAGGGAAATTATTTAGATGGAAACTAAGTCACTTTGCTGTACACCTGACACTAACACAACATTGTAAATCAACTATACTTCAATTTTTAAAAAGTGATAAAAAAAAGAAGTGTGCAGAATCAGAGGAGACAAAAAAACAAATACTTGTATTTCTTCATTAACATTTGAAGAAGGTGAGAGAAAGGAAAGAAAGACAAGGCAGTCTGCCTCCCAAATATATAAAATGAGATATAATTAGGGTTACATATTTTATATATACTTTATTTTTAAATAAATCATTAGTTATTAATGTCTCCTTAATTGTTTAACTGACCATCATTGAACTTAAAGGGCTCAATATTATTCTTTCAGAATAGCATTAGTGATTTTATAGGGTAATTGGCATTTTTCACATTTCAATTGAATGAGTCCACTGAAGTAGATATAAACACCTTCATGTGATTTTTATCAGTTATGCCCAATTTTGTACACCATAAATTCTATATCGTCAAGCCATTCCCACAATGCCTTGACAAGGTAGAGCTGTTTTTGAGTCACACTAAGTACTTTATAGAATTTCTCAGTAGATGAACTCTGCATACTCACGCTCTGTTTGGTACAACAGATCTATCATGCAATGTTGGACAACAGTCCTCTGCTCCTCCATGGAAAAAGAGTGAAATGTTTATCTCACTTAGAGAATATGATGATGATCAATGATTACAGTCAGATTCTTTGTGGATGGAGAAAAGTTCCAGAACTTAATGGTCCATGTTGTGTTATTTTGAGATTGTTAAAGGCCCGTAGATGACGGTTGTGGGATTATGGAATAGGCTTCTGCTTTGTCAGACCTACTTCCAGAGCTGGATGGAAGGAAGAGGGGAGACAGGCAGTGGTTTAATTTCTCACCATCTTTACTATGTTTTGGTTCATGACAGAGCAAGTATGAAGTCAGAGGTGCATAAAGTCAACACAGATCTTTGTATATATGGAGAGGGACAGTTTGCTAAAGATATCTAGTATCCAGAAGGGCCCAGGTGACTAATTTTTAGTTCCATGTTGAAATATACATAAGTTGCAGATCAGAAAAATCTATACTCCCATTGCAAAAGGCTTCTTAATGTCTCCATGATTTCTTGATTTTCTGTGAACTAGTTTTACAGCGTGAATATGTTAAAATATGATATGAAAATACTTTACAGTCCCACCTGTCTTCACATTTGAATATTAGTAGCATTTACCTAATCCTGAATGATTGCCTATTCGAGTCTCTTCCATCTCTTCATTCATTCATTCACCCATTCACTTACAAAGCTCTTAGAAAGCATCTGTATTGACATTCTGGGGAATAGAAATGCAGTGGAAAATATAGTACCTTTCATTGAGAATTTATAATCAAGTGAGATAGGCTTTACATACATGAAGTTGCCAGAGGAAATCAATGAGAACACTTAAGATAATGCGCTTTTATCTTTTCTTTCCAGGAGGTCGGCCAGAGAATGATGAAAAAGGAAATTGTATGTTTTACAGTCAGAACTCTTAACTGCACAGCATAGAAATGATACAGGATCAAAGCAGCCCATGGAATTGCACACGTAAAACTTTCTTTGTATTGCACGGGACTGGTTTAGAATGGCTTGCAGATTTGCAATAAGGATTCAGAGGAGAGATTGAGCATATAACATATTTAAATAGAAAGTTACTGGTTATACTTTTGGTTGACGGCTACTTAGAAAATATTAAGCACCTTCAATGTGCAAGGCATTATGCAGGGCTCTGTGAGGGTTGCGTAGACGAATCAGAACATAAGAAATGAAGTGGTGAGTAGCATAGAGTCCAGAGAGATCATGCTCATGTGCTTATGAGTGACTGTGGCCCTCTGAGTGACCAGCAAAGAATAGAGACCAATTGTATATGCTGAGATGTGCAGAACGGCATTTGGGTTGGAAACCACAATGTGGTATCAAGATTGTGTGTTGGTTCAGTGAGAATTACAGGATATGTATAGGAAAACTTGATTAGTATGGCTTAGTTATATAACGTAATAAAGTTTTAAATGTCAGTTGAGGCTACACTGTGGTGGGAGAGGAGTTAAAATCTCAGATATGACAAATTCATTTCATCTCCACACCAACTCTAACTAACTACGACTAGTACTGTGTTGAGTAGAATTCTGAGGCCACATCTAAGATTAAGGAAGAAATATGATGGTGATAATTAGCAATAGCTGATATGTTATATTTGTCTAGTATTTGAAATTTCTCTTCTAGTCAATTAGGAGTCAAAGGAATTTGAAAAAGGGGGAACTGTCTATATTCAGGACAATAGTTCTCGAAGAACTCTCAAACTGTTGTTTTCCCTTTAAAGTCAGTACTCTGGAAACAATAAATTCACTTGATAAATAAGCTGGGATAATGCAAATTGACCTCTGAATTTCTTTCTTGGGATTTGATAAATGCATATTAAAGGCTCTGAAAAGCTCCTTGACAAGTTCCGAAGCAAGGAGCAAAACAAATAGGAATCCCTAACCATATGGAGCTTATATTCTAGTAATAGAGACAAGCACAAATCAAGGTAAATACATAAAATGTATAGTAAGTTAGATAATTAAAAGTGATATGGGGGAAAAGTAAATCAGTAAAAGAGGACTGTGTGTGGGCATGTGAGTTGGAAAGGATTCTGAAATTGTACATAGGGTAGCAAAAAGGCCTCACTGAGAAGGTGATATTTGAGAAAAGATACAAAGGAAGCAAGAAATTGAGTTAGTGGATACCTGGAGAAAGAACATTCCAGCAGAGGTATCAGCCAGTGCAAAGGCCCTGAGGTGAGAGTTTGTCTGTCATAGTCACAACAGCAATGAACACATGGGGGGAGTTGTATGAGATGAGGTTAGAAAGAGAAAGAGAAGGTAATCATGTACTGCCTCGTAGCTCAGGATGTTGGCTTATACTTTTGGAGAATTGGAGAGCTATCAGAGGGTTCTGAATAAAGGAGTGCCACGAAGGAAGCCATAGCCTCTGAGAAGATTATTTGCAATGTGTATATAACACAATTTCCTAAAAAACTACTAATTATCAATAAGAAAAAGACAACAACCAAATAGAAAATGGGGCAAAATGAGAATAGGACCACTCTGGCTATGGCCTGGGGGACGAGGGCAAGAACAGAAGCCAGCAGTGGGGTTAGGGGACTATTGCAGTTGACTCCATGGGGAATGATGGTGGTGTGGACCAGAGTCGTACCAGTGGAAGTCTTCAGGAGCAGTCAGATGCTTGATACACTTTCGAAGTGGAGTTTACAGGATTTGCTGACTGGTTGGATGTGTGGTGTAAAAGAATTTGAGGAATCAAGGATGACCCCACTAGTTTTGGCCTGATCACTGAAACTTTCCTTTAATAATGATGTGCTGGACGTCCTTCTTCCACAGCCCGCCTATCCCCACAGCTCAGACCAATAAATTACTATAAACAGGCTTATCCAACAGGGCCTCTTGGTCCAAAGAGCAAGAGGTTTCCAGAAAGAGGCAATACCGAGAGACCTGCAGGCAGAGCCTGCTGGATCTGCATCTATAGCCTCTCTTGGTGCAGCTCTGACCTTGAATCCTGGCTTCAGATCGTCTCCTTTTGTTTCTGCTCCTTTTGCCTCTGAATGCCTACTTTGGCGGTCTAGAATAGGAGTGCCACTCTATTACTCAAGTTCTTAAAAGAAATGAGGTCCTGCTTTCGTGCTGCACTACCTGCTACCTGCTTCCAAAGCCCTTGCTGCCAACCACCTGCCCGTCTGCTTGCCCATCTATTTCCTATTGCCAAGTTCTTGACACCGAGATCTGCCTAGGAGCCAGGACATCTGCCTGTTGCCTACCATTGGACCTCTCTGACGCTAGCAACTTGCCATCTTGGCCTGGACCCTTGCCTGTTCCCTGCTGTGACCATCCCCTAAAGCTCTGTGGCTTTTCCCATGTGTTCACGTCTTTCCAGCTCTTAAGATAATTCATTCATTTAAGGATTCATTCATTCATATCTGCATTCATGCATTAAATTAACATTTACTGAGGGCTAATTCTGAGTCCTCTACCTGTTGGAGACCATAGGTAATAGGTGAATAATACATAAGCTCTATTTCCTATGTCCTAGAGAATCTCCCAGAGTCTAGAAGGATGTGGCCTAATGAGGAAGGCAGACACGTAAACCATATTTACAGTGAATTGCGATCATCGCCCTCCATCTACAATCATCTTTTAAAAACGGAGACATTTTGCTGCTATACAAAGAGCACGGTGCAGTGTTTTACGGCCGGGAATTGGAATTAATCTGATGGAGGCTAGAGGTTCAGCTCTCCCCTTCACTAGCTGGGTGACACTGGCAAGTTGATTTACCTCTGTGGCTTGAGTGTATTCATCTTTGAAATGGGAACAATAGCTAGACGTTTTATAGGATTGTTGCGAGGATTACATAAGACGTTCATGGAAAGTGCTTTATCATAGCTTCTGACACATACGAAAGCACAATCAGTTTTATCACGCCTTCACTTTCTTCTCTTCCCCCTCCTACATCTCCTAGCAGTCTAAGTGGCAGTGATAGGAACCAGGGAGAGAATCCTTGGCATGAGGGAGACATTCTCTGATCTCAGGGGCTTGGGTTAGATGTCTAGGACTCTCCAAGCGCCCTGTACTGATCTGAGTCATAATATTGTTTAGTCATTGTCTATTTATTTGGTCATCTCCCTCATGAGCCTTTCGTTTCTTGTGGGCAAGGACTTGACTTCCTCATCATCTTGCTCAGTGCCACATATGAAGAAGTACCGGTAAATATTTGTTGAATTAAAACAAAAGGATGGGGCTTCCTTGGTGGCGCAGTGGTTGAGAGTCCGCCTGCCGATGCAGGGGACACGGGTTCGTGCCCCGGTCCGGGAAGATCCCACATGCCGCGGAGCGGCTGGGCCCGTGAGCCATGGCCGCTGAGCCTGCGCGTCCGGAGCCTGTGCTCCGCAACGGGAGAGGCCACAACGGTGAGAGGCCCGCGTACCGCAAAAAAACCCAAAAAGGATGACAAGGCTTCCCATTGGTGGTGCCAACTGCATTAAATTTGAAAGAAGGAATTTACCACATGAAAGAGGAATAAGACTGTTTCAAGCATTGAGAATAATGTGAACAGAGCTCTGTGACAGGGCACCTCCAATGCATTCAGGGAATCTTAGGTGTGGGGGAATCTCTGTCTATCTGTGCACGGCATAAGCCTTTGAATTTTGAAAAGTGGGCAGAGCCAGATCCCAAAGGACCTTGTATGTATAATGACTGAAACGTTTGGACTTTTTTATGGGATGCAGAGCATGGGAGGATAAGAAGTGGGGCCCTTGAGGCTTTCATGATCTTGTCCTTACTTCTCTTTTTCAGCCTTTTCTCCTTGACTGACAGTTTATGCTCCAGGAACACGAAAATGTTTGTACACCATCCCTTCCCCACCCCTCGAACATCACAGTGCTTCTGCTTCCTGCTTTGTTGCTTGGCTTATGTGGTTCTCACTTCCCCTTGTTCACCAGCAACCACCCAGGGCCCCCAGGGCCCCCTCTCTGCAGGCTATTACTCATCCTGTAGCCCAGAAGTCACCCTTTCCAGAAAGTCTTCCCGAGTTCTGAGTCCCCTAACTCTCAGGCAGTCATCTGAGTTCACATTCAATGAGTGCCCACTGTGTGTCAAGCACCCTGGTGTTTACTTTATGTCTATAATTTGATGTAACCCTCAAAACTCTATAAAATAGGTGCTATTATCTTTTTTTAGAAATTGAGAAAACTGATATACTTTTGGGGGGATTTAGTCTACATTTTCAGATAAGTAAAAAAAAAAAAAAGAAGCCTAGATAAATTATCTAGGGTCAAAGAGTGGCTGAGCTATTGCACTTGATGCAGGGTGTATAATCCCCACTGGCTTTGAACTTGAACACTACACTTCACTATCTACTTTTTTTTTTTTTTTTAAGCAGTATCAGTTTGGTAGAATACTAGGTTGACAGTTTTTTATTTGACCTTTCTGTGTCAAATCCCTTTTTACCATTCCTTGATGATATCTTGGGCAGATTCCATAATTACCTGGTCACTTTCCATGATTAAACTCACCCAGCCCAGTTTAAGTTTTTCGCTTTTTCAAAACCCTTTTTCTTCCCAGGCAGGACAGGCTCTTGGCACCAGAGACTTGGAATGAAGACTGGGCACAGTCTGCTCTGTCACTCTGTCCCCAACCTCCTCTTTCTAGGAGCCACCGGGTTGGAAGGAGTCAGGGAGGAGAAGTGTAGAGAAAAGGGCAAACATCTCTTTACTTAACTGGTCTTGGCTGCTGTGCTCTCCTTGTTGGTGTATGTGCTTTGGAGACAGACACGAATGGGCTGGCATTTTCATTTGGGTGCACAGGTCCAGATGCTGCTGTCTGTGAGCACGTGTGGGTTCTTAGGAGGGCCGTGCAGGGACACCCAATGTACAGTTCCCTTCTATCTCTTCCAGCACTTCCACAACCCCTCTCACACCAGGCCCTGCCACTGATGGTCTCCCCACAGACCCTTGTGGCTGGAATCTTCTCACTGAGTGGAAGTCCTCTTGGCTGGGATGCCAGCAAGTTGGCTCCAACATAGGTAAGTTTCACGATGTCCACACGATCATGAGAAATTCACACAATATTGTTATCCCCAAGGGTAGAGAGTGCAGAGAGGTATCCTGTCACTCGTACTCTCTGTCATCCACCTAGTCATGGGGTTGATGAGCAAATCTACAACCTTAGCAGATGTCCAGTCAGGGTACTAAGGTGATGCTCCTCCTAGAGCAGCACCCTTAGTCTATGGCTTTGCCTTTAAAAATATTTTTATACATAAAATATATCATTCATAATAACGTATATGCACAATTTAATGAACAATAATAAAAGTAACTGCCGCGCATTTACCATTTTGAGAATTAAAACATTTCCCAGTACCTCAGCTGCCCCTGAGTATGCTCTCTGATTCTGGATTTTGTGTTAATGCATCCTTATATATTAAAAGAAATTCCTAGCACCTGTATATTGCGTTCATTTTCTATTGCTGACATAGTAAATTACCACAAACTCGTGGCTTAAAAAATACGAATACATTATCTTACAATTCTGTAGGTTTGGGTTCTGACATGGATTTCACTGACTCTAAAATCAAAGTTTTAATAGGGCTGCATTTCTTTCTAGACGCTCTAGGGGAGAGTCCATTCTCTTGCCTAGTTTCTAGAGACCACCTGTTACAGAACGCACGTCCATGGGCCCAGCGCACAGTGAGGCCAAAGAAACCAAAACGTGGGAGTTTGGAGCAGAGAAAGGTTTATTGCAGGGCCGTGCAAGGAGACAGTGGCTCATGCCTTAGAAACCCTGAACTCCCCGAAAGCTTTCAGCAAAGCTCTTTTGCAGGAAAGGTGAGGAAGGGGCGTGGTTAGTTGTTGCAGACTCCTTGGTGTCAGACCCTTTGTTCTTGAGGTCAGGTCAAGGTCAAGTCATGATGTTCCTGTAAACCTCCACCAAAACAAATGTTATTCTCTGTCCTGACAAAAAGGGCAAGGTCCCAAGGCTCAACTGTCGCCCTCCAAGGTCCAGGTCCTGGCTAAGAAGAGGGGGTCCCTGCAAGGGCCGGTTACCCTGCCCGGGAGCGGTCATCCAGCACCCAGTCTGCATCCTCTCGCCAGTGCTGAGGCCCAGCTGAAGAGGCAGATCTCAGTGGCCGGCTCCCTCAGGGCCAGGTCCCCAGACCCTGCCCAGCCATCATCACTGAGGGAGCCAGGCGCCCAGGACCCCGCCGGCCCTCAGGCTTCTCGGGTAGCCCAGATGCAGGCTGGGTTGCACGGACTGAGACCCATGGAGACGGCCACTACCATCAGGTCACAGAGCTGGGGCTGGGGGAGAGGTTCGCTGCTGCTTCAAGGCCTGGGCCCGGCCCGTGGATTGCTGTGGCCAGGCCTCCAGAGCCCTGCAGGACACAGCCTCCCGCCTGTCCCCGGGGTCCCCCAGCTCGCCCGCCAACCTGAGGCCAGAGGGCCTGGAGGGCCCCGGGGGGAACCCCGATCCGCCTCTCACCACACTGTCTGCCATGAGGACCCCTGCAAGGCTGACAGTTGACAGGGAGGGACCTCCAACTGCTGCACCAGGGTCCCCGCCCCTATTACGCTTCCACATTCCTTGGCTCGTCGTCTTCTTACATCTTTTTTTTTTTTTTTTGCGGTGCGTGGGCCTCTCACTGCTGTGGACTCTCCCGCTGCGGAGCACAGGCTCCGGAAGCGCAGGCTCAGCAGCCATGGCTCACGGGCCCAGCCGCTCCGCGCACGTGGGATCCTCCCGGACCGGGGCAAGAACCCGCGGTCCCTGCATCGGCAGGCGGACTCTCAACCACCGCGCCACCAGGGAAGCCCCTTCTTCCATCTTTAAAGTTAGTAATGCTGCATCTCTCTGACCCTTCTTCCTTGGTCACACTTAGTCTCCCCCTAAGTGACTTTGTCCCTTAGTCTCCTTCTGACCACAGCTGGAAGAGACTCTCTGCCTTTAAAGATCCATGTAATTAGATTGGACGCACCCGGATGATCGCCCCATCTCAAGGTCCTTAAGTTGACCACATCCTCCAAGTCTCTTTTACCAAGTAAGATATATATGAACAGTTTTGGAGGATTACATCCTTGGAGGACATCTTTGGAGGGGGCATTATTCTACTTACCACATATATGTACTGCTAAAAACATTTTGTATAGTTTTGCCTGTTTTCACACTTTATACAAACAGAATTAAACGGTGTGTATTCTTTTGTGACTTGCTTTTTTCACTTAATATTAGATTTTGAGTTTATCCATGTTGACGCATGAGATGTAGATCTATTTTCATTACTATATAGTATTCTATTGTAAGAATATACTATGCCGTAATACAATGAATATAATATACCATTTATGTATCTGTTCTGCTGCTAATAGACATTTTAGTATAGTCATCCCTCAGTATCTATGGGGCTATGGATTTCAGGATGCCCACAGATAGCAACATCCATGATGCTCAGGTTCCTTGTAGACAGGCATACCTCTTTTTATTGTGCTTCAATTCATTGCACTTCACAGATGTTGCGTTTTTTTTACAAGTAAAGGTTTGTGGCAGCCCTGCATCAAGCAGGTCTATCGGTGTCATTTTTCCAACAGTATTTGCTCACTTCATGTCTCTGTGTCACATTTTGGTAATTCTTGCAATATATCAAACATTTTCATTATTACTATACTTGTCATGGTGATCTGTGATCAGTGATCTTTGGTGTTACTGTTGTAACTGTTTTGGGGCACCACAAACTGTGCGCATATAACCTGACAAACTTAGTAAGTGTCGTTTGTGTTCTGACTGACCCACTGACCAGCCATCCCCTTCTCCCTCCCTCTCCTCAGGCCTCCCTATTCCCTGTGACAGAACAGTATTTAAATTAGGCCAACTAATAACCCTACCATGGCCTCTAAATGTTTAAGTGAAAGGAAGAGTCGCATGCCTCTCGCTTTAAACCAAAAGCTAGAAATAAGTTTAGCGAGGAGAGCATTTTTAATGCTGAGATAGGCTGAAAGCTAGTCCTCCTGGGCCAAAAAGCCAAGATATGAATCCAAAGGAAAAGTTCTTGGAGGAAATTAAAAGTGCTACTCCAGTGAACACGCGAATGATAAAAGAGTGAAACAGCTTTACTGCTGATATGGAGACAGTTTTAGTGGTCTGGGTAGAAAATTAAACCAGTCACCACATTCCCTTAAGCCAAAGCTGAACCCAGAGCAAGTCTCTAAGTCTCTTCAATTCTCTGAAGGCTGAGAGAGGAGAGGAAGCTGCAGAAGAAAAGTGTGAAGCTAGCAGAGGTGATTCATGAGATTTAAGGAGAGATGCCATCTTCTCCATAACATCAAAGTGCAAGGAGAAGCAGCAAGTGCTGATGGAGAAGCTGCAGCAAGTTATCCAGAAGATCTAGCTCAGATAGTCAATGAAGGAGGCTACGCTAAATTAGAGATTTTCAATGTGGATAAAATGGCCTTCTATCGGAAGATGCCACCTAGGACTTTCATAGCTAGAGGCAAGAAATCAATGCCTGGCTTCAAAGCTTTAAAGGACAGGCTAACTCTCTTGTTAGGGACTAATGCAGCTGGTGACTTTAAATTAAGCCAGTGCCCATTTACCATTCCTTGGGCCCTTAAAAATTATGCTAAATCTACTCTGCCTGTACTCTAGAAATGGAACAACAAAGCCTGGATGAAAACACATCTGTTTGCAACATGGTTTACTGAATATTTTTATCCCACTGATGAGAACTACTGCTCAGAAAAATAGATCACTTTCAAAATATTGCTGCTCACTGACAAAGCACCTGGTCACCCAAGAGTTTTGATGGAGATGTACAAGGAGATCAATGTTGTTTTCATGCCTGCTAACACAATATCCATTCTGCAGCCCATGGATCAGAGTAATTTCCACTTTCAAGTCTTATTATTTAAGAAACACTTTTTGTAACCCTATAGCTGCCATAGGATAGAGATTCCTCTGATAGATCTGGGCAAAGTAAATTGAAAACTTCTGGAAAGAATTCACCATTCTAGATACGATTAAGAACATTTGTGATTCATTGAAAGGGGTCAAAATATCAACATTAACAGTAGTTTGGAAGAAGATGAGTCCAACCCTCCTGGGTGACTTTGGAGGGTTCAGGACTTCAGTGGAGGAGATAACTGTGAATGTGGTGGAAATAGCAAAGAACTAGAATTAGAAGTGGAGCCTAAAGATGTGACTGAATTGATGCAATTTCATGGTGAAACTTTAATGGACATGGAGTTTCTTCTTATGGATGATTAAAGTGGTTTATTGAGATGGAAACTACTCCTGGTGAAGATGTTGTGAAGATCATTGAAATGGCATCACAGACTTTAGAAGATGACATAAGCTTAATTGATAAAGTAGTGGCAGGGTTAGAGGATTGACTCCAATTTTGAAAGAAGTTCTGAAAGGAGTAAAAAGCTATCAAACAGCATTGAGTGCTACAGAAAATTGTTCCAGATAGAAAGAATCAATTGATGTGGCAGACTTCATAATTGTCTTATTTTAAGAAATTTCCACAGCCACCCAAACTTCAACAACCACAACCCTGATCAGTCAACAACATCGAGGTAAGACCCTCCACCAGCAAAAAGTTTACAACTTGCTGAAGGCTCAAATGATTGTTAAAAATTTTTAACAATGAAGTATTTTTAAAGTATTACATTATTTTTTAGACATACAATGTAAATATAACTTTTATGTGCACTGGGAAGCCAAAAAATTCATGTGACTCGGTTTATTTCTATATTCACTTTATCATGGTAATCTAGAACGAAACACACAATATCTCCAAGTTATGCCTGTAAAATTTGCACTCACAGAGTCAATCAACTGTAGAGGTGTAACTGTGGATAAACAGGGCCAGCTGTACTTTTAAGTTGGGGGCTATTAAAAACATTGCTGATATGAATATTCTTATAAATATTCCCTGATTTGTGTGAGCACATATTTCTTTAGGGTTGTATTTAGGTGTGGAAATGAAGAAATTTCAAATACCTCTGTCTCATATTTGCTCCTGAGAAGTCAGTCGTCAATATATTAATTGTTTTTCTTTTATGTTACCCAACTTTTTTTTCTGGCTTCTTTGAAGACTTTCTCTTTTCCTTTATTCTCCTACAATTTTACTACAGTTTTTGTGTGTACTTCTTTCTGTTTACATGGTTGAACTTTGTTGGATTCTTGGAGCTGAGAAAGGCTGAAAACAAATGTGTTAATTTTCTCTTCCAAAATGTTAGGGGGAAAAAAAAAGTAATCTGAAGAAAAACAGAGGAAGAAATTACTAAAAAATGTAAGCAGAAATAATTGAGCCAGAATAAATTAAAAAGTAAAACAAATAAATAAAAACCTGATAAAAATCAATAAAAAATCAGGGCAAAATTAATGAATAAAAATGGATAATGTGCAAATACTCAAAATAAGGAATGACAAGACAGAAATAACCATCAAAGAAAAAGGAAGTTTTACAAATCACAAAAGATTTCTTTGTACAAGTTTATGCAAATAAATTTGAAAATCTAGCCAACCAAAAAATCAATAGACAGATTTTGGCAAAATTATAAGTGAAGCACATTGAATTTATTTAACCATGTATTTAAGCACTTAAAAAAATTGGTGATAAATGAAACAATAAAATGTATAGTGTGCCTTGACAGTATACAAACACCTGAGCTGACAAAAATGCGGAGCCAAATGGGGAGAGAAGTTGGAAAAAGGAGTGAACACACAAAATTCTTCCTAAATAATGATAGGGAGTGAAAGAATATCATTTAAAGTGACATATTAAGTAGCAGAGACCTGACCATATTTAAGTACGATAGTAAGCACTAAGAGAGATAATGAGTGAATTTAGATGGTGAGGAGAAAAAGGAGGGAAAGGCTAGAAGCTAATTTTAATATTTCTAATTTTATTAATGTCCAGACACATAAGTATACTCAATAGAAAAACAACATTATATAGTAGACTTGAGGTCCAAAAGGATTTTCATATTAATACATATAAATTGAATTGTCACTTATCACAAGAAGAGATTTTCAGGTTAGATTGTAGTAAACCCAAAATCTGCATTGCATACTAGAGATATGACTAAAACAGAGACGTTAAAAAGAAGATGAGAAATGCGTAACAGTAAATTTATTAAAATGAAAGGGGATGTCTCAAACTTGGCATTGGACAAAATAGAATTCAAGCTAAAATGCATTAAGTGAAACGAAGAAGGGCACTTTATAAAGCTGAAGAACAAAATAACAAGTTCAAATAACACAATATTAATTTTAATAATATATAAATTATAGAAAATGCAAGAAAAATATTTTAGAAACCACATTAACAATAGGAAATTGTAACTAACCTCTCTTAGTCCAAGTTACATCAAGCAAAAAGTAAGCAATTATAGAAAAGATCTGAACAATATTATTTTCATTTTTAATATAAATATTTGAGCTTATAAATTTTCTATTAAGGATTGCTGAAGTGGTGTCCCAAACATTATATTATGCAATGTTTTTCTAGCAATTGTAATTTAAATTTCTATTTCCCCTTGGAAAAAAGAATTTATAGGTGAAAAAGACTTTTTGTTTACTAGTATTGTTATCAATTTTGTCTTTACTGCCTTATGATAAAA